TCTCTCTCTCTCTCTCTCTCTCTCTCTCTCTGCCGAGCTTCAGCTATGGCCGCCTCTACCTTCTTCTTCACTTGCTGCAGCTCCGCCGGCGTGGACAACGGGTACCAGCTCCGATACCAATGCAATCAGACTCAACTCTGGACTTGCTCACAACATGCACACTTGAGAACCGATGGCAAACCAAACTCTTCCAACTCAGAAACAACAATGAACTTGCTTTTAAACTCTGTTCAGAACAACTGTACAACTTGCGACTATGGCCGCCGAACACTGTCTCTACCACCAGCCTCACTCTCCCTCACTCTCATATGTATGCACGTACGAGGATCACCCTGAATGTCCCCACTCAGCACCTCACACACTCTGTACACTCGTGTACACCAACAGCTGGGCGACTATGGCCGCTGTCGTCTTCCTCCTCCTAGCTATGGCCGCCGTGTCTCCCTCGCTGGTTCGCTATGGCCGCTGTCTTCTTCACAGCCCACTTCTTCTCCGGGCACCTGCAGACCTCCACACACAAGATACCAAGGCAGCTCTTCCGCATGGCTCACAGGCGAATGAATGAATGGCTGGACGCTGCCTCTTTATTTATACCTCTTTGGAGGTACCCAGGCCTGCCTCAAAACGTGTGGGCCTGGGCCAAAACGTGTGGCCCAGGGAAGTTTCCATACATTTGGCCTTCTGGGCCAAAACGTGTGGCCCAGGGAAGTTTTCAGACGTTTGGCCTTCTCACAGCGTGCTCCAGAACCTTCCCCACATGCAGCCCTTACCCCTGGTACTTGCTGACTGGACTGGCCTACAGGGACCTACGACCTTCTAGACAATACAGACCTACAGACAGATTCCAGTCCTCACCAGACTTCCTAAGCCTATCGGTAACAGACCTAGCTGCTAATCTACAGACCTAGGGACCAAGTCCTACTGCCCAAACTACAGACTAATCTGGGATGTGAAACAGGTCTAGGGATCGAATCCTACTCAGCACACAGGGTCTATGTACAGGTATAGGGTAGGTCTAGGGATCGAATCTCACTTAGCACACGGGATCAATGTACAGGGTTGTGGCACAGGTCTAGGGACCGAATCTCTGTGACTGCAATGTCAGGTCAACTGGGTGAAACCGTTTCAATATAACGCCCGGCGTTATTTTCGGGTGAAGACGGTAGTAGTCTCTACTTCGTAGTCTTAGGCCTTTCAGCCTCATTCTTTTGTCCTTTTTCTGCCCTTGGTAGGCCCGTTGGTCTTTCTTTTGTGTGTCCTAGCCTTGGGTCCCCTTAGTCTAGGTTTCCATCTAAATGCACGTAGGTAGATCTTGACTGTTTGGCTGTATATGTTTGCTGTTTGGACGGTCAGATAGGTCTGTAGGTGGCTGCTGTGTTGTAGGTCTAGGGAAGCCGGGTAGAATTAGGCAGAGGCCGACGAGTTTGGGGTTCTTTTGGTTCTTTTCGTTGCTTTTTTTTCCACAAATGGTCGTGCAATTGCTCGTCAACAATGATGAGTTCATTTGTTCGGAACGAGGTGCCCCCATCCCTTGGCAAGGGGAGGCAGGTGCCTTTGCTCGGCAATGGATGATTTTCCACAAATGGTTGTGCAATCGCTTGTCAACAATGATGAGTTCATTCATTCGGAACGAGGTGCCCCCTTCCCTTGGCAAGGGGAAGCAGGTGCCTTTGGTTGGCATTGGAAGAGTTTTCACAAATGGTCATGCAATCGCTCG